TTGCAAAGCACTTAGCACAGTGCCTGGTACACAGTAGGTGCTTAATAAATGCTTATTTGCTTCCTTCCTTTTTATACTTGTGTAGATTCGCCAAATGACACCACTCAATGCTTTGCACTCAATAGTTGCTCGGTTGATATTTGTTGATACTGATAAAGATCCACAACGAGAATTTCAGGGTGATTAATACCCCAGACAATCAATCAGTCAATTAACAAGCATTTAGGCATTGTGTGTAGGCACTGTGATAGACACTGGGAATATAAAAAGGGAAAAAAAAAAGAAACAATTTCTATTCTCAAGGAGTTTACATTTGACTGCAGGAAACAATATATGTTTGTATGTATGTGTGTACACAGTTATCCCTTCTACATCATTACTTTCCTCATGACAGGTCTGATATATCCTGGGTCAGCATGAAAAATTGAATGCGATTTTTTGGGGGAGTTTTGCAGAAACCACAGATGACACTCAAAGGCCAGCAGAAAAAGTTTAGAAACTCAGAAATGCATTTTATATATATGTGTGTGTGTGTGTGTGTGTGTGTGTGTGTGTGTGTATAAATTATATATTATCATATAATATCAACCTAAATTTTACAATAAGGTACTGTAAACATTCCATGAAAGAAAAAGAAAAAATTCAGACTTCTCTGGTATGGAGGGCCAAAACATTTTATTCAGATTTTCCAGGTTGGGGGTGCCATGCCCCTAAACCCTCCCCCAATGTAGAAGAGATAACTGTATATACATATATTAAAATACAAATAAAATAAATATGAAGTAGATTGGGAGGGAAGGGACTAGCAACTATAATTTGCAAAGACTTCATATAGTAAGTGGGGTTTGAGCTGAATCTTGAAGGAAGAGAAGGATTTATGAAGCAGAGGTAAGGAAAGAGTACAATCTAGACACGGAGGATGAACCAGGGCAAAGGCACAGAGAATGAAAATGGAGAGCTATATGTGAGGAATAGAGAGAAGACCAGTTTGTCTGGAGCATGGTAGGCAGGAGGAACAATATATGATGATTCTGAAAAGATTGGTGGGAACAATTATGCGGCTTTAAAAGCTTATCAGGAAAACTTATATTTGATCCTACAGGCAATAGGGAGTCACTGGAGTTTACTGAGTAGAGGAGTGACACGTTCAGAGCTGCCCTTAAGAAAAATCACTTTGGAAGTTGTATAGAGGATGAACAGGTATGGGGAGAGACTCGAGACAGGGAGACCAATTAGGAAGTCATTGCAGTCATCCAGGTGAGAGGTGAAGTGGACCAGAACTAAGACGGGTAGAGAAGAGGGGTCAGATGAGAAAGATGTAGAGATAGAAATAGGAAGGGACCATATTTGGATGTGTGGCATAAGGAAGGGTGAGGAGGTGAAGAAAATGCTGAATTAATGACTGGGGAGAGTGGAAGAATGGTGGTATCTTCAGCAAAAATGTAGAAATTTGGAATGGGAGGGATTTTAGGGGAAAGATAACGAATTTTGTTTTGGACATGTTGAGTTTGAGACATTTTTATTCAATTTTGGGTGAGAATCACTGTGGTATCTTGCTGCCCAGCCCTGTCCCTTAGCCCCAGCCTCTGCAGTGTGTCCATGCTCGTGAATCCTCCTGATACTCCATAACCCTGCTATATGTATAACATGGAGTCCTTCTCCCTTACACTGTCTCCTCCCATGTGCCTTTCTGAAGTAAAGCAATTTCTTTTTCTCTACCAGCCACTGCATAGGAGAAATGGAATCCAGTGATTGTAATTGGTGAGCAATCAGAGTGGTCTAATGTGAAGAAGGTAAAAATGCATCATTGGTGACTCAGTCAGTGACTTTACTACTGAGTCACTGTGCATACTTGGGCAAATCATTAACCACTCTAGATCTTCATTTCTTTATTGGTAATCACAGAATTACAGATGACTAGAGCAGGAAGGATCCTTAGAAATTTTTTAGTCTAAAGTCCTCATTTTACAAATAAGGAAATGGAATCTTAGAGAGGTCAAGGCCATGTGTGAGATCAAAATTCTTGACTTTTCAGGTTGTAAAGAACCTTAATAGTCAGCTTAAAAGTGGAACTTCCTGGGAGAGGGAGGTTGTGGAATGAGGCCTAGGTGGCCTGGTTTCACCCTAAAGTGTGCATGATTAATCAGGGAGAGATAGGAAAATGAGTCACATCCCACACTCCTCCACTCCTCCTACCACTGGTCTCCCATGTGGCTACCCCAGGCAGGGGCTCCAGAAGCTTCAGAACCGATGCAGATAAGTGTCTTACCCCAAGTGTCCCCACACCCTAACCCTTGTGGCTGCTCCAGGTCTTCTACTCAGTGGTGAGCAGACTCTGCACTCTGGGGCGGCTATTGGGGAGAGATCTCTCATCTTCTTTTCCCATCCTTCACCTGAAAACACAAGATAAAAAAAATGGTGAAGGAAGAGCAAGAGTGGTTGGGTTGTGCTTACATTACATTTTCCCCTCAAACCCATCATTTTTCTGTACTTTCCTATTTCTGTTGAGGGCATCACCATCCTTCAAACACCCAAGTTTACAATGTGGGTCCAATCCATTTCCTGAACAGCTGCCAATGAGATTTTCCTAAGGCACAGGTGTGACCACGCTCCTCCCACATTCGATAAACTCCAGTGGTTCTCTATTGACCCTAGGATCAAGTGTTATTTCATTTTTCATTCATCCTTTTATCATTTTGGTGTGTCATAGTATACATAATTATTGGTATAATAAATGTATATAATTTATAAATCAGTAAACATACACATATTGGTGATACACACTTGAAATGACTTTTCTTGCTGACACAGGTGCATGATCAAAAAAGTTTGGAGGTTTCTATCATCCCAGAGTGCAGAAGTCCTCTCTATGACCTATATTAACTCAAATAATGGAAAGAATCTTAATCTTGTATCCAGTTGTTCCAACTTTCTGTTGTGAGCATGGGGAAGTCAAGTAACTGTTTTGAGCCTCAGTGTCTTTATTTGTAAAATGAAGATAATAACATTTGTCCTACCTTCCTCATAGAGTTGTTATGATGAAAGTGCCTAACAAAGTTTAAAGCATTGCCTAAGTGTGAGCTGTTACTATTATCCAATTTCTTTTTGAATGTGTCCAGTGATGGGGAACTTGCTACTCGAGAAGGGTAGGCCATGACACTGTCAAACAATTCTAATTGGTAGAAATTCTTCCCCAAGTTGAGCTGAAAGTTATTCTCTATAACATCTACCCCTTGGTTCTAACTTGCCATAATAACTTTTTGAAGATTGTTGTGAGGATGAGATGATAAAAATAAGATGACACACATGAAAGTACTTTGAATAATAAGAAAATGCTGTCTTTCTGGGCCATTGGAAAGTGAATTATCTATAACATTTATTTCCAGACACAGCCTTTGTACCTATTAATTCACCCCACATTTACCAGCTTACCAAGAATTCGGCAGCAAGCCTCCACTTACTAATATTATGGCACTTATGCACATTGCCACTCAGAGGAGAAATGCCCCAATATGGTGGTTCATAGCTAGGTCTGGAATCATGGGATGTTAGAGATGGGAGGGATCCTAGGGACCTTCTAGTCCAACCCATGCATGAAGTAATTGAGACCCACAGATATTAAGTGACTTGCCTAGAGCTCCATAGTTAGAATATGACTAAAGCCATAGACTCTTAGAGCTAGAAGGCACCTTAAAGGCTATCTAGTCCAATCTTTTACCAAATGAAGGAATCTTTCCCCGACATCTTTATCAGAATTGGTACTTTGTTGTTTTAGTCATTTTTCATTTGTATCTGAGGCTTTGTGATTCATTTGGGGTTTTCTTGGGAAAGGTACTGGAGTGGTTTGCCATTTCCTTCTCCAGCTCATTTGACAGATGAGGAAACTGAGGCAAACAGGGTTGAGTGACTTTCTCAGGGTCACACAGCTAGTAGGTGTCTGAGGCCAGATTTGAACTCAGATCCTCCTGACTCCAGGCCAGTACTCCATCCTCTCTGCCACCTACCTGCCCAAAATTGCTGCTTATCTTGCTTGATTTATCTTAGGGCTAACCTGATTTTTTTCTGTCTCTTCCACATAGTACAGTGAAAAGATCACTGATTCTCGAGTCAGAGGATCTGGGTTCAAATCTCACCTCTACTACTATTACTTGTATGACCTTGGGTAAATCCCTTAACTTCCCTTCACTTGTTTCTGCATTTGTAAAACAAAGGCATTGGACTGCGCAGAATCTGAAATACCTTGCAGCTTTTGCACTACAATCCTGTGAAACAAAATTGACTTAATTAAAAGTAGGTTTTATAGTAAGAGATTAACTCCCTGTGCCCAGGGCCTTAGAGTCGATGATGTGTTGCTGACAGACAGCCTGGGCTACAGCCTTCATTATGTTTCCTGACTAAGTGAATCATGTCAGAAGTAGCAGACATATCAGCAGCAGCAGTGCCAAGCATAGCAGCAGATTTATGGATTCTGTGATAGACGGATGTTGTCTCCTAATAGTGAGTATGGTATGGGATGTGACAGAATCACATTGCTAACATCATTTCCTTGTTGACCTCGGGCATTGCCTGCATCCTGGTGTTTGAGGCCTGGGCTTCTTCTGCTTGTTTCTACAGAATAGCTTTGCCCTAGAATCCTCATCTTTGACTAGACCCAAATTGGTGCCTTAAAACACACACACACACACACACACACACACACACACACACACACACACACAGTTTTCTTGTGCCAGTTTAAGTTATTCACTGGACCTGGAAATCCTTGTCTTTTTTTTTTCAAACACTCTCTGCTTTCTTTTGAAAAGTATTAGCCAATGACTGACAAATTAATAGAGGGCAGAAAAAAAATGAGACCATAGGGTTGGAACTCAAATACAGAGTTTTCTGAGCTTATGTGTGAGACCTCTATGTCGTAAAAATAAACTGTGAATGTTGGACAATTATTTGTAAAGCCTCCTGGATTTCTTAAAACTATTTAATGGATGTTGTCCTCTTAACAGCTGTGATGCTGGTGTCTACCAATTCCTATGGCTTTTGCTTTTGTTCCCAAGGGACAGTGACTGGATTGCCCGGACAATGCTGAAGAATTGTTGGCCGCTGATGTAAGACTTCATGAGCAAAGGCTAGGTAAATGACGTGAGAAATGACAGGAGTAACCTAGGCCTCAGGAACTTCTGATAGGACCTCCAGAAGCTGTTTTCTTTCTACCTGGAATGGATTCGGTACATAAGAGGCATTCTTGTGGGATGACCTCTTCCTGCCCCTTCCCCTTCTTTTGTTCATCTTCTCCCTTTCAAAACACTTCCTCTTCAGATGCCCCAGAAACTTGCCAAATGGAAGATGAAGTTAAGAAATGAGAACATATGGGTTCATATAAATAACCGGTCTTTCTAATGTAGTAGCTTGCCTTCTGAGGTAACCAAGGGAGACCACATAATTTATCACATATATCCAGATAATTAATTATCCATTGTTTGGAGGGAGGGAGGAAAGGAGCAGGGCATTGTTTAAAGAGTCTCATCCTCTTGGTCACAAAACGAGCCAAGGCTTGTCCTTTCCTTTAGTATTGAACCTCCAAGAGGGAACATCTGAGTAAAGGTTATTAAGAGGACAGAAAATCTACAATGTGGAACAGCATTCACATGAAAAGAGCTGTCACACCACAAATCTATTGCAATCAGCCTTTTTCTAGAGCGTAGCTCTTTAGCAAAGAAGTCACAGAAACCATGAGTCACAGAGAGACGTTCTGCACAGTGGGGGTAGAGGTGTTCGCAGCCACCATTGGGCAAATGGAGAGACAGCCATCTGTTTTCTTTTTACAGCAAGCCTTGGACATTTTGGGCTTTGTTCCTGATGAAAAATATGGATCCTTCAAACTCATGGTGGGGTGGGGGGTGTCAAGCAATCATGCACTTTGGAGACTTGAAATTTAAGCAGAGATCCAGAGAAGAGCAGGCAGAGGCAGATGGCATTAAAAGTAAGAATTTCAGTAAAGCAGAAATTTAAAAAATGTTTCACTTTCCTCAAGCCCCCAACCCTACTTTGTTCCCCTCACATCCTCTACTGAGGATAAGGTAGAACTACGGGCATAAAGTAATGTGAGTAAAGTTCCCTCAGCGCCCTCCCCCCAAATAGTTCTCTGTTTTCACCAGTGGTATGCATTAAGCTCGGGGCAGCATATCTTGGAGTTAGCCTTACCATTGACCCTTCTCCTTCCTCTTCCCTAATTCATCTCCAGCTATTCTGTTCTATTCTACTCCACTCATTCATTCATTCATTCATTCATTCATTCATTCATTCATTCATTCATTCATTATTTGTTTGTCTATCCATTCACTTATTTATTTATGTAGCTATACATTCATTCATTTACTTTTTAGGTTTTATTTATTTTATTTTTAAATTATGGAATAAAACAAGCGTTTCCATAACATGGTATAACAAAAAAGATGATTGCGTATAACATTGCAAATCCATTATATACAACTTGCTATTCCTTTTCAATATGTAATAATGTTATCATATACATTTCTTTTTTTTCTCCTCCTCCCCTCATTATCTCATGCAAGTCTCTCCAGACACACTGGAATATACCTTGGTTCCTTTCCTTATCCTGTTCCCTTTGCCTAGGATGCCTCAACATCTTTCCTCCCTACATCACCCAGACCCCTGCCCTATCACAATCTTGCCCATCCTTCCAGGCACAGTGTTGAACACCTTTTCCTCCAATGAAATGATCCTCCCAGTCAGAAGTGATTCTCCTTTCCCTAAATTCTTTTAGCACTTGCTTTGTCTTATAGTACTTATCACAGATCACCTTGTACTATAATTATTTCTGAACGTGCCCCATCTCCCCTACTAGATTATAAATTCCTTGAGGGCAAGGGTTTATTTTTATTTCTCTCATAGTGCCTAGCAAAGTCTCTTTTGAAAGCATGAATGCATGAATGAATGAATGGCATTATGATACCCTACAAAGAAAATTCAAATGGAATAGTGTTGGGCTCTTTTACTAAAAGGGTCCTTCAGCTCAGCTTACAGTATTGGAATTTGTTCCTTTCTTCTGAATTACTTCATCTTGCAGAAGTGACACAGTGCTTAGCTAAGACACTAACAGGAATTAGTTTATGTGATTAGTCATTACTATAAGTAACTTGTCTGAATATGTATAGACACTGACAGGTCTTAGAAGAACAAAACTAACTTCTGAGGTCCCTCTCAGCCAAAGACCTCTTTGGGTGAATCTGCTCAATGTTCTTGAGCTGTCCTCAGCTGCCCTGGGTCTGCCACCTTCAAACTCTATTCTTCTCCTCCAGTAAAAACCTGTCTATCTTTTTGTGGTCCCTTCATCAGGTCCTTGCTCTCTGCTGAGGATCACTGGGGAACATTAGTTAATTATAGAAACTAATCTTTGCTAATGCATTGGCTTACCAATGTATCACTCTTCCCAGTTAAATTAATGCTTTTTAACTCAATGAGAAGCAAAGTCTCTTTGGAGACTTGTGAGAATTAATGTTAAATGTTGGGGATTTCTTTTTTAATCCTTCATTTTATTTTATTTTTAATTAATAAGTATTTATTTTCTTTCTTTCCCACCTCTCCCTTCCCAATTTAAGAGAAAAAAACCCAAAGTCCTTGGAATAAATTTCATAGTTAAGCAAAACAAATTTCCACCTTGTCCATGACCAAAAATACATGTCTCATTCCTCATCTTGAATCTCTCACCTCTCTTTCAGAAGGTAAGTAGTGTAACATCATCACTTTTTTTAAACCATGATTGCTTGTTGCATGGTCATAGTTCTCAAATCTATCAAAGCTATTTATCTTTAAAATGTTATTGTTATCATATGAATTTCTCTCCTGGTTATTCTCGTTTCATTTTGTATCTGCTCAGGGCATCGGATCATGTACATCTTCTCTGGTTTCTCTGAAACTATCCTTTTTCTATTTCTCAGGGCACTAGAATATATCATTACATCCTTATACCATAATTTGCCCAGCCATTCCCAAATTGATAGAACCTCCTCCCTCAGTTTCCAGTTCTTTGTCACCACAAACAAAGCTTTTATAGATATATAAGGGTCCTAGGTTTAGTAAGAGGGTCAAGTAGATTTTTGAGGAAGGTATTTTGGTTATGGGGAGGGGAGTGGGCCTTCTTATGCTGGCCCTTAAACATATCACAGAGAAGTGGAGCCAAGATGGTGGAGTACAAAAGCGCTCAGCTGAGCTCTCCCAAATCCCCCCTAAACAACTTTAAACTAATAACCTCAAATCGAATTCTGGAATGGCAGAACCAACAAACGGTCAGGTAAAACAGTTTTCTACCCCAAGACAACTTAGGAAGTTGGCAGGAAAGTCCTGTCTCACCTGATGGTGCTGGGCTCTGGTAGCACAGGCAATGTAGGCCAAGCCTTGGGGAGGAGGTGAGTCCTATGTTGGTGGCGGCAGCTTCAGGAGTTCTCAACTCACAGATGGTGGGGAGGTCAGACAGCTGGTTAAAAGGAGATTGCAGGTCACCTTTTCCCAGCACTGGATTCAGGATCCTGTTGCATTGCCCATATGCATTCCCAGGTCACAGTCCCAGAGACAAAAGGAGTGATGGCTGTTGTGACCACAAAGGGGCAGGGGCCTAGGTAGAAGTTCCAGGGCAAGGAGGAGGACTTATGGTTGCTCATAGGGCCAAGCCTTGGGGGGTGGCTGCATTGGTGGCAGCAGCTTTGAGAGCACTCAGGCCATGGACTAACAATCTCAGCTACAGGAAAGTGGAGGTCCTGGTCATAGTTCTGGGGGCAGGAGGAGTGCTAGTACTGGTTGCTACAGGAAAACAAGGTCTCTTCCTGGGTAAAGAACAGAGTATAGGCCAGGAGAGCAGTGACCACATCTATCCTTAGAGCATACCAGCTTGAAAGCATTGAAAACCTACAGATCCCCAGAGCTAGCTGTAAACATAGCAGCAGGAAAGGGACAGCTACATGCAAAGCTTCAAATAAAAACGTGAATTGGTCACAGGTCCAAAAATCATTCTTAGAAGAGCTCAAAAAGGATTTAAATATTAAAAAAAGGTGTAATGGAAAAATTGAAAAAAGAAATGAGGATGATGCAAGAAAATAGTGGGGGAAAAAGGAGTCAACAGTTTGGTAAAGGAAGCACAAAAAGAATACTGAAAAAAAATGACATCTTAAAAAACAGAATAGTCCAAATGGTACAAATGGGCCACAAATACGTGCAACAGGCCAAGAGGCACAAAAATCTACTGAAGAGAACTCCTTAGAAACAGAATTATCCAAATTGTAAATGAGGCAAAAAATCCACTGACAAGAACTTTTTAAAAAGCAGAATTGGCCAAATGGAAAGAGGTACAAAAGCTCATTGAAGAAAAGAACTCCTTAAAATTAGAATTGGGCAAATGGAAGCTAATGACTTTATTAGGCACCAAGAAACAATAAAACAAAATCAAAAGAAGAAAAAAAAAGGTAAAACATTTTATTGGAGAAACAACTGACTTGAAAAAGAGATCCAGGAGAGAGGATTTAAGAATTATTGGACTACCTGCAGGCCATGATTGAAAAAAGAGCCTAAACATCATCTTTCAAGAAATTTTCAAGGAAAACTGTCCCAATATTTAGAACCAGAGAGTAAAACAGAAATTGAAAGTATCCACCAATCATCTCCTGAAAGAGATCCCAAAATGAAAACCCCCAAGAATATTATAGCCAAATTCCAGAGCTCATAGATCAAAGAGAAAATATTGCAAGCAGCCAGAAAGAAACAGTTCAAATATTGTAAAGCCACAGTCAGGACCACACAAGATTTAGTAGCTTCCCCGTGAAAGGACCAGAAGGCTTGGAATATGGTATTTCAAAAGGCAAAGGAGCTAGGATTGCAACTAAGAATAAACTCAGCAAAACTTAGTATAATCCTTTGGGGGGGGAAATAATGGATATTTAATGAAATAGAGAACTTTCAAGAATTCCTGATGAAAAGACCAGAACTGAATAATAGAAAATTTGACTTTCAAATATAAGACTCAAGAGAAGCATAAAAAGGTAAACGTGAAAAAAAATCATAAGCAAATCAATAAGGCTAAAATGTTTATATTTCCATATAGGATGATGATAATTGTTACTCCCAAGAACTTTCTCATTATTAGGGCAATTTGAAGTAGTATATATAGACAGAGGGTGCAGGTGTGAGTTGACTGTGATGGGATGGTTTCTTAAAAAAACTGAGAGCTGAGAAAGAGGGATGCACTGGGAGAAGGGGGAACTCTATATAGAGAACTGAGTCAAATTTATAAGAACATGAGTCATTCCCCAGTGACTCGTATGATCAAAAGGCTATAAACAGGCAGTTTTCAGAAAAAGAAATCAAAGCTATTTATAGTCTTATAAAAATGCTTTAAATCACTTTTGATTAGAGAAATGCAAATTAAAACAATTTTGAGGTACCACCTCACATCTATTAGATTGGTTAATAAGATAGAAAGGGAAAATGACAAATATTGCAGGGGATGTGGGAAAATTGGGATGCTACTGTAGTGTTGGTGGAGTTGTGAATTGAGTTAATCATTCTGAAGAGCAATTTTGACCTATGCCCAAAAGGCTATAAAAAACTGTGTACCTTTTGACCCAGCAATACCACTAGGTCTGTACTCCAGAAAAGAAAAGCATAAAATATGTATATATGTATCTGTATAAAATATTCATATGTATATAAAATAATATATATAATATAACTAAAATTATATAATAATACATAAATAATAAAACAATATATGTATATAATAAAAATATAGGTATAAAACATTTATAGCAGCTCCCTTTGTGGTGAAAAGAATTGGAAATTGAGGGGATGCCCATCAGCTGAATAATGACTGAACAAGTTGTGATATGATTGTAATGGAACACTATTATGCTATAAGAAATGATGAGCAGGATGCTTTCAGAAAAACCTGAAAAAACTTACATGAACTCATGCAAAGTGAAATAAGCAGAACCAAAACAACACTGTACACAGTTACAGCATTATTGTGTAATGATCAGCTGTGAATGACTTAACTATTCTCAATATCCAAGATAATTCTGAAGTGCATATTATGAAAAATGCTATCTACTTCCAGAGAAAGGACTGACATGCAGATTGAAGTATGCTTTTCAATTTCTTTAATATTCTTTTTCCTCTGAATTTTCTTTTTGCAATATGGCTTATATGGAAATGTTTTATGTGACTGCACATGTATAATCTATATCAAATTGCTTACCTTCTCAGTGAGGGGGGGATATAAGAGAGAGTGGGAGAGAATTTTGAATCCAAAATTTAAAAAAAATGAATGTTAAATTTTATTTACATGTAATTGGGAAAAAATAAAAATTAAAAATCACACCATAAAATGGCTATTTAATCTATCTATGCAAGAATACCAGCCATGTATAAAATATGCTGTCCTGCCTGTAGCTATCTGTTTCTTCATAGCAATACTCTGGTGTAGGCTTAGACATTTGGCTACATGTTTAAAATGTTTTAGTCTCTGCTATTTAAAATAAAAACTTATTTAATGAATGAAAATGAAATAACTCATTGCTTTGAAAATGATGACTATACATTGTAAGCCATTGAAATATATAGGAGAAAAAGCACTGACTTTGTCGTCACGGGAGATGGGTTCAAATTTTGGTCCTTCTACTTATCATTGGTGTCAACTTGGACAAATGGCTTCATTTCTGGTCCTCCAGTTTTCTCATCTGTGAATAAGAGGGGTTGCACTAGATGATGTTAAAAGTCCTCTTCATGTCTAAATCCCATCATTTCCTAGCAGCAGGAACAGTGTGTGTCCATAGGGATAAGTAGGTGCTACATTCATATGATGCTAGACTATTTGAGAGGCGGCTGTGAAGTTCCTTAATGCTTTCAGAGGCTATTTCTGGTGGTGAGTAAGGTGGAGTATTTTATAGAAAACTCAAGTTTCTTTTCTTTGTGGATAATAATAGACTCCCAGGACCATTTTCTGACACTGGGAAGGGGACAGTGAAGGCTCTGGGAGTTAAAAAACAATTCTTTGAGGCTATTACTATCCTTTTATTATCCATGTGAAGGCTTCCATACCTGATCAAACCAGGCTCCAATCTTTCCTGGACAGTCACTAGGCTATTGTTTCTTATTACTTCTCCCAAATTTCTATTCTTCTCCCAAATTCATCACACACATTTCATTTCTCCCTCTCTTCCATCTCTAAAATTCTGTGATTCTATAATTTTAACCGACTGGGTTCTCAATATGAATTAATCAGGCTTTCTTCTCTTAACAGCAGTGTCAGCAGGGATATTGAAGCACAGAATGAACATGTCTATTTTGCTTTCACTGTTCCCATTGAATTCCCCAAACAGGGTTTGGGATGTGAAAAATGCCCCTGCAATAAAATACCTTGGTCTTTATTACTACAAATAACTTGATATAAAGTAGTACGTACTCTGTTTGTATATTGATTTTTGTTAACAAGTAAATTAAACATTTCAGTCCTATAAAAAATAAAAGGATGCTGTACCTAAAACACAACAACCAATAGCTCTGTAATGTTCTTTTGTTTTTCCCTTCCTGTTTATAGTGGTTGTCCAGGAAATTTTTATTCTTAATTTTTTTTTTTTCCGGAGTAGGAAGGCTGCTTTCTTCTTGCTCTGGGCATTTTTTCTGTAGCATTTATATGTCATAAACATTCTGCTGTAGCTCTCTGGATTCATTTAGTAAGAAAGAAATAAGCTAGAGAGAGATTTCAGAAGGGTGGAATGTGAGTTTTGCTTGGCAACTGAAATGATCTACATATTGGAATATGCTCATAACTTGCTTGCCTGTGGCATGTTTTGTGGTATATTTATCTTTTAAATACCTAATGTGATGTGTGCCTATTCATTGTTTCCTACTTAGAGAACCCCACTCCCTCTTTCTCCATTTCTTCCCACCCCTACCCTTCTACTCCTGTTCCAGGGAAAATGGGAATGTCAATATATTGTTATCACAGTGGTGCAGTGCCGAAATATTCCTGTTAGACAGCAGAGGGTACTATGGGGCAAACAGAGATTCCACAGGAAGAAGGAAGACATTTTGTCCATACCGTGCAATCTTTGTGCGGGCTGCAGCTGATTGGCAATTGTTTTGAATAATGAAAACCATTGTTAACTGGGTCCTACTTCCTTGCAAGCATCTACAATTATAAACTTGTTGCTCAGAAACAACTGCACGCTCACTGTCGTATCTCCCTCCTGTAATTGTAGGGAAGAACAACGTGATTGGTTGGTATTTAATGTGAAATGGGAGGCCTCCTTGTTTTTGGATGAACATTTTTCTTTATTAGAGCAGGTTTAGCACAGTGTATCAGATCCTTTCAAGCATCCAAGAATCACGACAGTCCAAAGGATCATAGGTTTGGAACTGCATGGGAGCTTAGAGGTCATGGAGTCCAACCTCTTCATTTCATAGATAAGGAGAGGTGAAGTGATTTTCACCTAACTCGTAAGTGTCTTGAAGTAGGATTTGAATCCAGGTCTTCCTGACTCCAAGTCTAGTTTCCTTTCCACTATGCCATGTTCATAGTATCATAGACCCTGAGTTTCCAATGACATCAGAAGTCCCTCATTTTACATAGGAGGAAACTGTTGTCTTAGCTGTACATACTCTTTTATTCTGCCATTCTGAATGTGTAGATCCTCAGATATTCTATCCTTTAGGGAATGAGTGTGATTGTAGAAAGAGTCCTTGACTAGGAGTCAGAAAAACTAGGTTTCATTATAGTTCTAGAACTTTCCAGCTATGACCTTGGGCAATCCTTTCTGAGACTTGATTTTCTCAGCTGCAGAATGGGAATAATACTCTCTATCCTGCATACTTTATAGGGTTGTTTTAAGAAGAAAGTGAAGTGTTCTGAAACTTCTAAACTTCACTATGCAAATGTAAGGTTTGAGTGTTCTTTTTAAAATTAAAGCAGAGTAGAGTAATTTTTAATGGTGTTTTTTTTTCCTTTTCTATTAATGGAGCTTAACTAGGTGCTGACAAACTTGCTTACATCACAGGCATTAACTCCTCTGATGTGCTGAATACCTTAATATATCCCAGAGTCAAAGTTGGAAATGAATGTTAATATAGATCAAAATGTATAACAGGTGAGAAGATATTTCCAAATACTGGGGCAAGGTATGAGTGGATGTGTTTGACTTCTTGGAATATCAGCCATAAGAAGTGATCTAAAAAGCAATACAATATCACTGGGGCACAACACAATGTACAAGCCACCCACAGATATGTGCATACAACAGGTCTTCCTCCATGATGACTCTTTAGTTGGAAATCCATACTTCAGACAGCTTTTCTCTAGATAATCTCTTTTCTCAAGAGTGTAGAGAAACATTTCACTTGTTGGCTATCAGTTTGATGGCTACAGCTAAGAGGTTTTCAAAGCTGTTTATGGAGTGAAGGAAACTGAAAAATTGATGTAACTGAGTCTTTGAGCTGTTGAATTCTTTGTGGCAACAGAAGCACATACTATTTGGAAAATGTCTGAAATAGTGGTGTGGGTACTGAAGAGGGTAAGAAGAGAGATGGGAGAAAGAAGAAAGAGCCAGCAGGTCACCTGGTATGGGCTCACCAACCTGGTACAGGTATTGAGGTCTTGCTAAGTATCACAAAGATAACCTGTTTTAATGGTCCAAAGTTAGCTAGGTAATGTTGCCTTGTAAATGTAGCATCTGAAAAGCAGTAATAATTATAGCTAGCATTTATATGGCCCTTCAAGGTTTGCAGAGCAATGTACATATGTTACCTCATTTGATCCTCACAACAACCCTGGAAGGTAGGTACTGTTATTATCTACATTTTATAGATGAGGAAGCTGAGGCTGAGAAAGGCTGAGATGAGAAAGATCACCTAGGATTATACAGCTAGGAAGAGGCTGAGGCAAGATTTGAACTCAGGTCTCATGGACTCCAATCCATCAGTTTTACTCGGTGTGCCAGCTAGCTGCCTGAAATACCAACATAATTCAGTACCGTATGGTAGAGGGGATATCCTTGGTATATGAATATGATGCCACTAATTACCTTTACGGGCTGTGTTGGAGTTGTTTTTTGAAGGACGGAGCTGTGCTTGACCTTCTGTTCTTTCTTATCTGGTTTCCCTTGTAATGAACTCCGTGCATTTATGACAGGTTGTGACCATAGAACAGAATCTCATAGTTGTTCAGTCATGCCCTTCATGACTCTGTTTTGGGGTTTTCTTGGCAAAGATACCGGAGTGGTTTGTCATTTCTTTCTCCAGTTCATTTTGCAGATGAAGAAACTGAGGCAAACAGGGTTAAGTGGCTTTCCTAGGGTCGCACAATTCATAAATGTCTGAGGCTAGATTAGAACTGATCTGTTCTATATCCACTGCATCACCTAGCTTCTATCCTGGGCAAAGTTAACTGGCCCATAGGAGAACTGAACCTGTGACCTGTGCTTCTTAAGTACCATTCTCCAATGACTCAATTTACCTAACTCCAGATATTACTCTGTTAGCTTCAAGGAAAGATGGTGAGTGTGTGTGTGTGTGTACTGAGCCTACTACCCTTCCCCCATACGGAGTGACAAATGAGGATTCTCAATTAAGACTTTCTTTTCCTGGAAGTTTCACTAAATACACACAGACAACGGTCATTACTAAGAATAGGTATAACTTAAAAGGGGAAGATGATGTGGGAAGAAGCTAGGAAAAAAATCCTTGCAGCACGAATTCCACAAAGGAAAATTCACTTTAAAGAAACTGTAGTTGCAGCTCTGTCACTGTGTGACCTTTCGTGAGTTAATTCATCTCTTTGAGTCCCAGCATCCCCCATCTGCAAAATGGGTGATGGTAGTGTGAGAAATGAATATTTCTCTCTTATATTTAATAACTAATTATTGAATCAGGACCAAGGTTTTTTTCCATTTTTTACTAACCAGTGTGTGAAATCTCTCTTAGAGATTCATCCAGGCCAAGATCTAATCAGACAGTAAAAGAAATTCTAAGTATGGGCTAATGGATATATTCCTGTTCATCGTATTTGCTCAGACAAGTCTGGGGAAAGGTTGATTCTCCCTATTATCGAGACAGGTGATATGGAAATTGATGTACCTTTGACTGAGATTTGAGTAACCTAAGTCATGTAGCACAAGACCTTCATTTTAATATGGCCCCCACCTGTCTTTGCAGTAACCAAGATGACTGCTGCTCCTCAGGAACACCTCCTCTTTGAAGGGCATATAAACTAAGACCCCTCTGCCATTACTGGTCTTTGGTCTGAGAGAGATGGCCAAATGACCATGCTTTTATGAATAAACTGTTGACCTTATTAATAAAATGATTAAATTACCCAGAAACTATGTCTCTTCTACCTTTTAATCGTCACAATAGCACATAATTTCTCAGGCCCCCTCTACCTCTAAGATTCTATGATGGATGTTCCAACCTCATACAACCAAAAAGAGGGTTGCTTTCCTTTGACGTTTCCAGAGGTGTCACAGAAGCTTGGCAATAGCTGGCAGAAGAGGAAACAGAAAATAAAGCTCAAGGCTCAATGCTTTGGGGTTTGTTTTTTTTTAAGGAGTGATAGCATATGAACATGTGAAGGATCTGTGTTTTTTGGCAGTATGGGGAGGCTCTCCACTCATGTGTTTCATAATCTATCAATCTAGTGAAGATACTTTGCAGAGGTGCTTGAGAGGACACAGGTAATTTACCTGCCTGCCCAGGACCGCAGAACTGGTGAGTGTTCCAAGGGGAATCTGAGCCCAGGTTTTCCTGACTCTAAGCCTAGAACTCTAACCACTGCCCCACGTTGTTTTTAAAGCAATAATAATTTTTTTACCTTTACTGTATGTATATGAAACTCTACAATTTCCCTATTCTTTTTTTCACAACAGCGCTGTGAAATAGATTGTCTAAACCAGGTGTGGGGGGACCTGCAGCCTCGAGGACACATGTAGCCCTCTAGGTCCCCAAGTGCTGCCCTTTGACTGAATCCAAACAGTTGGATGGCTGGTCCAAACCATATTATTTCCATTTTACAAACTGAACTGAAGCTCAGAGAGGTGAGCACAAAGTAAGCGAATTGGTGTGGATAGGACTCTGGACTTTAAAGTTAGGGAGACCTTGGCTCTAGTACTACCTCAGGCACTTATTAATGTGATCCTGAGCAAGTCACTTAACCTCTCTGGGCCTCGGTTTCCATTTCTGCAAAATTAGGGTTATGAACTCAATGGCTTCCAACGTCCCCTCCAACACCCTAAATACGATCTTAAGAGTTAGAGCAGGATTTGAACACAGGCCTTTCCTAATTCCAGGTCAAAGAGTTCACTCCACACAACACTGCTTGATTAAGAAATGAGTCATTAGTTCCATGGAAAATGGTAATCAATATGTTGGCAGCACCATTTTTTTCTGCTTTGGCTATAGCACTATTTGTGCTATTTTGAGGTGGTGGGTTCTGTATTGAGGTTGCTATTCATGATAAGCTTTACTTGATTCCCTCCACGATCCACACTGCCTACCATTCCCCTTCCTCTCCCTCCCCCCCAGCCTTCTTCCATGCTTCTTGATCCCCATCAGTCCCATCATTCTCTTTCCACTCCCACTTCTGGTTTAGATAAGTGGTTTGAGGGGGTGGTTGGGTGCTGGAGGTAGCAAATTGGCAAATGTATTTTTTCAAAGTGTCAAAGCAACTGTGCCAGAATGAAGATTGTCTTCCAAAGGTTGAAGCTCATTATCGGTATTTTTTTGGACATGTGCACTCTTGACCCTGATAATAAAGAAAATGTGATGCTGTCAGGATTATAGGTGACTGTGGGAATGACTCCAGAGAGCTGATCAGAGAGGGGGTGACTCATAGCTAGATCACCACCAGACACCAACGGGCTCGTGTTGCTGAAAAATTTATGTTATAGGCCTGTTTTAAATGTTAAGTGGTTGTGGCATGTTCTGTTCACCCTGTTTGGAGAATGGCCAAGTGAAATTCACTCCTACTTGGAGTCTGTCAAAAGCCTGCTACTACCAGTAGGGCTGTTAGCATTGTGGAAGCATGAGCGGCATTTACATACTGCTATCCACCCACAGGCCTGGGAGCCTTCTGTACCTCCCTCCCAAGTTCTCACCTGAACCTTTACTCCATTCTAGGAAATGAAAAGCAGCATTAGCCTCTACTTTACAGAAGGAGAAACTGTCATGAGGTGCTAACGTATCCAAGTTCAGGAAGGAGTTTAAGAGAAGAACTGAGAAAGGAAGCTCGCTGTCTTATTACTATCCTTCTTATACTTTACGGTCCAAAAAAAAAAATTAGATTTAGATATTATTTGAATCTGCCTCCATTAATGAGCTATTTAGTGAAACTTAAATCCTTCAAGTGCAAAGTCATGTAGTTCGTTCCAGAGCCGCTAAAACAAGGCATCCTTAACTCAGTGCCTTTTCTACTTTATTCCGTTCTCCCTACCCCCACACCTTACCCCCCATATTTAATCCTTTATTAGAATGAAGGATGTATACATTTTTATCTCTTACATAAACTCTTCATAGGCAGGGCTTATGTCTGGTCCTTCTTTTATGCCCATAGCATTTTGCACAGTGAACATAGTAGGTCCCTGCTAACGGATGAAATTGATTAGAAACTGGAAGTTGACAGAGAATGTCGACTATCAGATCTGGTATTGTTTTAAGATGATGAAGTGCTCCAAATGTGCTTTCCAGGTAATGTTTGCTATTGGTGCCTTGTCTAAGTCAATATGTGATTGAATGTTCGGGTGACTGGTATCACACATCAGTGGAACTCTAGATACCAGGTTGTCAAGACAGTTGTTCATTGGCATCCTTGATGTGGATAGACATGAATCTTCTGATGTAAGTACAATTGGCTGAGAATGCATTTAGCACACATTTGAACAGAAGAAAAGGAAGGGAAAAGAAGGAGGATATGGAGATTATGCTTAGGAACATAGGATTGGAACCCACCACCTCCACATAAAAGCCACTAGTTTATTTTATTAAAATTTGATAGTATTTTTTTCCAATTACATGTAAAGATAGTTTTCAACATTCATTTTTGTAAAATTTTGAGTTCCAAATTTTTCTCCCTCTCTCCTTCCCCTCCCTCTTCCCCAAGATAGCAAGCAATCTGATATAGGCCATACATGTACAATCATGTCAACCATGTTTCCACATTAGGCATGTTGTGAAAGAAGAATCCGAATGAAAAGGAAAAACCACTAGAAAGAAAAAACAACAACAAAAAAAAGAGTGAAAATAGTATGCTTTGATCTGCGTTCAGATCCATAGTTCTTTCTCTGGATGTTTTCTCCACGATGAGTCTTTTGGAATTGTCTTGCATCATTGTCTTGCTTTGAAGAGCTAAGTCTATTGCAGTTAATCATCACACAGTGTTGCTGTTGTTGCATACAACGTTCTCCTGGTTCTGCTCACTTCGCTCAGCATCAGTTCATGTAAGTCTTTCCAGGTTTTTCTGAAATCTGCCTGCTCATCGTTTCCCATAGCACAATAGGATTCCCTTATGTTCATATGCCACAAGTTGTTCAGACATTCCCCAATTGATGGGCATCCCCTCAATTTCCAATGGTTTGCCACCACAAAAACAGCCACTATGAATTTTTTTGTACTTGTGGGTCCTTTCCCCTTTTTTATGATCTCCTTGTGATATAGATCTAGTAGTGGTAGATCAAAGGGTATGCAGTTTGGTTACCCTTTGGACATAGTTCCAAATTGTTTCCCAGAAAGGTTGGATCAGTTCACAACTCCACCAACAATGCATTAAGTGTTCCAATTTTTCCACATCTTCTCCAACATTTATCATGTTCCTTTTCTGTCATATTAGCCAATCTGATAGGTGTGAGGTGGTACCTCAGAGCTGTTTTAATTTGCATTTCTCTAATCAATAGTGATCAGAGAAAAGCCACTATTTTAAATGGAAATTTGGTCTCAGAAAGTTTCCAGGTCAGGCTTAGAAATGCAGTTTCAAATAAAAATAGAGTAGAAGAACTGTCTTTTGTGATTTTGATAGTCATTAAGTATTATTTTATTATTTATTAGTCTGTGAGAGGCAGTAGTGGTACAGTGAATAGAATACCAGGCCCGGAGTCAGGAAGACTCATCTTCCTGAGTTCAAATCTGGGCTCAGACACTTATTAACTGTGTGACCTTGGGCAACTCACATACCCCTGTTTATCTCAGTTTCCTCATCTGTAAAATGAATGGGAGAAGGAAATGGCAAACCACCTTAGTATCTTTGCCAAGAAAACCCCAAATGGGGTGACGATGAGTAAGACATGATGAAAAATGACTAAATGACAAAAAAAAAGAGAGAGAGAGAGAGAGAGAGAGGCAGAAGTAGCACAGAGGACAGAAGGCCAGCCTTGAGTCAGGAAGACCTGGCTTTGAGTCCTGCTTCTGAAACCTACGTGACTTTAGCTTTATGACCTTGCACACATTACTTAAAATTAGAGTACACCAGGAAACTCTCTGAGACTGTAAATTAAAGAGAATTGTGGATCTATATCTGCGATGGGAGTGTCAATAGTTGGAATTCCCCAACAGGATGAAATCATGAGTCTATATGGTAACTGTTCTCTAAAGATGTCCTGAGCATTTCATTAGGTGTGTCACAAAATTTCTCCCATCACCAAGGGTTGACTTCGAGGTGCCTTTGAACTATTGTTTTATGAGCCTTCGTCATTTCACCTCTATGGACCTCAGCCTCCTTTTCTCTAAAAATGAGTGAGTTGTACTAGATGGCATCTGAGGTCATCTATGATTTTATGAAAAAGGATACTGCATTGTGAGCACCATTTTGGGAACCATTGGATCACAGTCTATGCCTTTGGGTATATTCCTGATAAAACCAAGACTATATCTGAATATTTGATGATTCTCAAATATGTTTATTCCCATTCCACAAGAGACTTAAGTGGAACATCAAACAAGGCGTTCTATTTGTCATTAGCTGGATACATGCTCAGTTTTCTGTTGATCATTTCTTTGCAGATGAGCCCTTGTCTTCTTTTTCTTTTTGTCTCCTCTCTGTCCATCCACACATTTACAGAAAAAACAGCTTTGAGCAACTCTGCATTAATTTCACCAATAAAAATTGCAGCGATTCTTCCATCATCATATATTCATCTTGGAATAAGACGAATATAAGAAGAAAGGCAATGACTAGGTAGTCCTTGACTTTGCTTTGGATTTATAGTACTGCCCCAATTTTATTGACAAGATAACACAAAGCTTTTCACCTCTACTCTTTCCACTTGTAATGGATTTTTCCCTTGGAAGATTCCCTCCCCCACCCTGATCCCTAAGCCAGTTTGCCATGGTATGCCATGTCAGAAGTCATATTTCATGGGTGGAAATATTGCCCTGCAATTTTTCATTTAATATCTTTTCAGCCCAGTGCCCACAGCATCCTATAGCCACACTCCATATGGGTTCCTGCGCTTCATAATCCATGACCCAGGCTTTTGTTACTTATTTGTTGCTTATATACGATCTCTGAAGATAATGTACAAACAGCCTTGTCAACATTAACAGGTATCATGCTCTGTACTGGAAAAGCACAGAGCTAAAATGTGAGCATTGTAGGACTTGGTTAATTAGCACCAAGTGAACGAGAAGACCCAGAGCTCCTTAACTAAATTTGGCAAATTAACATGCAAAAAAACACCTGCCATAAATCCTCAAGGCTTGCACTACCTTCCAGAATGTAGTTTGTTCATTTAATTGGACAAGTCCCAGTTAGTTTAGGTGATTTATGATGGTGCTCTGTGGTTTGTTAGTGAATTTGCCATTGTGTATGCTTTGCTAATACAGTAGCATCTTCATGCTTGAAGAGCACAGCCCAGTCTGTGGGAAAGGAGTACGTCCAGGGTTTAGCTGTAGGGCCACCCCAAGGTCCTCTCTATTGTCAAGTCTGTGGGAAACAAGCATAGCCATGTGTACATGGAAACATCTACTGTGTCACACTGGGGCTAAGGGAATGGGTAGATTTCAGACACTCAGTAGGAATTTCAAGACTAGAAACAGGACAATGAAGCTGTGACTGATAAAGCATGAACAAAGATGGGACTTAATTGAATTGATTCAACAAATACCTGTTGAGTCCCTGCTATGTGTAAAATAGCATGTTATTTACTTGACCTAGAATTTAAAGATAAATAAGACAAGTCCTTGCCCTGAATAGTTTATAATTAAGGAGGGTGAATAAGATGCATGTTCCATTAGTAAGAGGCAGCCTGGCTTTAGTGAATAAAAAGCTGGCCTTGGAGCCAGGAGGACACGAGTTCAAGTCCTGTCTCTGACACAGGTTGATTGTGTGGCTCTGGGCAAGTCACTTAACTTCTTAGGGCTCTGGGCAACTCTGTAATACTCTGAGTTGCAAAGAAGGCGTAACCTGCATTGGCAGAGGGAAGTTCCTCATTTGGGAGTTCCTTTTCTTTTTCTGTTTTTTTTTTTTGGCAAGGCAATGGAGTTAAGAGACTTGCCCAGGGTCACACAGCTAGTGTTATGTGTTTGAGGGTAGATTTGAACTCAGGTCCTCCTGAATCCAGGGCCAGTGCTCTAACCACTGCGCCACCTAGCTGCTCCCTGGGAGTTTCTTATACCAATGAAACCATGGGTCCACTCTCTATCCTATTCTAAAAGTTATGTGGCAAAATTGAGAATAATAAGTGAGAGTTTCAAGGAATAAAGACCATTTTTTTTTGCTGATGGAATTAGGGAAAACCTCATGAGAAAGGCGATATTTGGGCTGGGGTGTGGAGGAGGGGTAGGATTTCAGTAGATAGAAATAATGGGGAGTTGGGAAAGGAAGGCAGAGAGTTTGTGTAATATTGTATAGTATGATTTGTTTGGGATGTAGAGAATATGAAAAGAAGTAATGTGAGATAATTGTCAAAGGTAGGTTGGTACCAGGTGTGACCAATAAATACATCCCCATAGGACGTAAGCTCGTAGGTGGAAGAACTGTTTGTCCTTGTCTTTCTATTCCCCAGTACTTAGCGAAGTGCTTGGATGGCAGCAGGTGCTTAAGAGATGCCTGCTGAATGATTGTGGAGGGGCTTGGATGATAGGCTAAGGATTTTCATTTCATCTTTCTTCAGTAGGTAATATGGGGCCATCAAAAAGTTTTAGTAGTACAGTGATATCATCAGAAGTATACATAGCTTTAATCTGGTGTGTGAAAGGATAGATTGGAGGAAGTGAGACTGGATGTGGGAAGCCTAATTAAGAGGTTACTGAAATAGCAGGTCGGGGGCTGAGGGCAGGGAATGTTGCACTTCTTGTTATACTTAGTTGACGTGTTGTTTAGATTCACTGATTTTTTTTGTGGTTGTTATAAAGGGTGGCTCTCAGATTGGGGATGAGAAGAAATATATTTGGAAATGAAGGCAATGTGAAAATTAAAGATAACAATAAAAGAAAACCTAAAAAAGAAGCTATTACAATAGTACAAAGAAACAATAATCAACTATAAGAATTACAGTATTTTCAAACTGGAAATTTCTCATTTTATAGATAAGGAAACTGATGCCCCCCAAATTAAATAACTTGTCCAAAGTCACAAAAATAGTCTCTGCACATAGAAAGAGCTTAATAAATATTTGTTGCCGTGGATTGAACTGATTGAGGCTAAACTTAATTTAAAGGAAAGATCAAAAGGTAGAGGCCAGGGGCAGCTAGGTGACTCAGTGGATAGAGCACAGGCCCTGAAGTCATGAGGACCTGAGTTCAAATCCAGCCTCAGACCAAACACTTGACACTTACTAGCTGTGTGACCCTGGGCAAGTCACTTAGCCCCAATTGCCTAAAAACAAAAAGGTAGAAGCCAGGCATGGTAATGGGCTGGAGCTAGGGAGGTCAGGATGATGACAATGATTAAAAGCCAGGAAGTCAGTCAGGTGTCAGGAATGCCCTTCAAGGGTCAAGGCAAAGCCCAGGATTAGCAACCACAAAATCAGTCAGGAACCAGAGGACAGATTTAGGTAAGACCTAAATCTAAGCATCAGAAACCCGATAAAGAATTGTGTCAGCAGATATAGAACGTCAGGATTCAGAAGGCCTTGAAACTTAGGGCCCAGCCAAGATGCTTATATACATACACACACATACGTACATACATACACACACACACACATATGTGTATGTTTGCGTATGTGTATACACATGTGTGGATATGTGTATACATACATGTGCATATATACAGGTGTGCATATACATACATATGTGTATATACATACGTATCCACACACATACACACATACATATACATATACATACACACACACACACACACATATGCCTCTTTCTATAGGTAGAACAGTGGATAGAGCACTGGCTCTGGAGTCAGGAAGACCTGAGTTCAAATCTGGCCTAATACACTAGCTATGGGATCCTGGGCAAGTCACTTAACCCCGTTTGCCTCAGTTTCCTCATTTATAAAATGACCTGGAGAAGGATATGGCAAACCATTCCAAGACCTTTGCCTAGAAAACCCCAAATGGGGTTGCACAGAGTCAGACAATTAAACAATAAGGACAAAGGCAGAGAGCAATCTCAGGACATTCCAATCAAAATTCTGAAAAAGGGAAGAGGTGAGCCACATTAATTCCGATAGAGTGAGGTTTATGAGCTCGATGAGAGGGATAATTCTCTGATAAAGACATTTTAATTGTTTTTACTCTAAGCTTTACTCTAATGCCACCCACGCTACTTTGTTCATAACAGTCATTGACGTTTTTGGGATACAGTGGGAGAGGAAAATAAATTCACTGACCCCACTTTGTTTAACCATTTGGCCCTGTTGGGAGCTACATCACACACAGGCATGCGTGCATATACACAGGCACGCACATGCATGCTCACACACGCACACACTCGAAAACACAAGCCATTCTACCTTTTCTTTCTGCTATGTAGTCACTCTCGGTTTCTTCCTCCTAGTAAAATATTGGCAGAGAGGAGTCAGAAAATGTGGTCATCATGAGAGGCTAGGGAAGGGGTATTACAGGATAGTGAGTTTGAAGTCAGAGGCTTTGGATCAAATCCTGGCTGTGCCAATGGCCCATCTGGATGACCTTTGGCAAATTGTTTAACCTCTCTGTTTCTTCATCTGTAAAATAAGGAGGATTGACCAGATGCTCTCTTGGGATCTTTCCTGCTCTAAATCTCTGATTCTTTTTATCTTCCCCATTAGAATATAGGGTCCTTACAAGTAGGGAATATTTTATGTGTTAAATATTTATCCCCAGTGCCTGACACATAGTAGGCACTTAATAAATACTTGTTGATTGATGGATTCTGTGTTTTGCTGTTCACTCTAATGTCACTGTGTCTGGGGAAAGAAGGGTCTCCATAAACTAATTTAAAGAATGAGCAAACTATAGATGTGGGGCTTGAGTCTTCCTGTTTAGACCAGGTTCATCACTAAGAGAACTTCTACAAGTTTTAATTCAATAGACTTGGCTTGTAAACAAACCATTCTGTGTGGGAGAAGGCAGAGTGAAGAAAGCAAAGAAGGAAGGATGTATGGGGTACTGAGAAAAGGACCCTGGCTCAATACTGGACTTGAGACTAAAAAGATTAGCCAGAAACAGCCTTTGCTCAAATGTCTGAAACTATGGTACTTTCTGTTTTGGGGTCTCTGTTTTGTCCCCAGCAGAGCAATCAGCTGGAAACTTCCCCAGTTTGTGAGGAAGCAGAGCAATTCAGGCTAAACATTTCCCAGAATTATATGATCCTGGAGACCGAAGGGGGTCCCTAGAGGTCGTAGAGTTTAAACTCCGCCTGAAGTGTCTATATTCCTTTAAAACACCTTTAACAAATGGTTATCCAGCCTCTGCTTATAGATTTCTAGGGGCAGAGTACTCACTCTCAAGGTAATTTATTTCATTATTAAACAGTTCTAATTAGGAAGCTCTTACTTTTATTGAACAGAAATCCACCTCCCTGTATTTTCCATTCATTGATCCTAGCTCTGCTCTCTGAGACCAAGCAAATCAAATCCTTCCTGCATATTACAGGATCACATATCTGGAGCTGTTTGGTCATGTTCAATTCAATCCAACCCAGCACTTATTAAGGGCCTACTATATGCAAAGCACTGGAAATACAAAGATCACAACAAAAGTTGCTGTCCTCAAGGTGTTTATGTTCTAGTAGGGAGATGACAACGTTTATAGAAATAAGTTAATACAAAAGTCAACCTGGGATAAAGAGGACTATCATAGCAGCGACAGCAAGGGTCTTTCATTGAGGCAAGGGGACTGCAATTCAGAACACCACACAGCACTAGAGTGCAAGAGTGCCCAAAAGAAGCACAAGGGGTGGGGTTAAGATACACTTTAATACGAGGAATTAAGTTGTTTTGCAAAATAGCCAAAGGTTGGGGAGTGATGGACATCAGGCTCGAGGTGCAGAGAGTTTCCACAGAGATCCCAAGCTGTGCTCCAACTATGGGATTAGTGAGGTCAAGGGAGCCCATTCTGATCTCTGCATTCAACACAAAGTAATTTCAAGAGGGAGAGAATGCTACAAACAAGGGAGGATTAGGAAATGCATCTTATGGGAGATAGCCTCTGACTTTGTTTTGAACAAAGTTAGATAAGGATTCTACATGGTGGAAGTAAGAAGGGAGGCCATTCTAGGCATGGGTGACTATTTGGGTAACGGCATAAAGGCAGGAGATAGACTGTCATGTATGTGCAACAATTAGCAAGCTAGTTTTACTAAAATGTTGTTTGTCCTTTATTCTCAAAGAGGACCATGACATCAAAAAGGTGATGTCATGACTTACAAATAAATTGTATTTAAGTGAGGCAGGGCTGTGCAAAGTCACCAGCCTCACTTTCTCCTCTGGAGTAAATGATATAATCTGGAAAAGATAGGTGGAAGCCAGATTGTGGAGGGCTTTCAATGCTAGGCTGGAGATCTTAGATTTTATCTAAAGAGCAGTAGGGAATCATTTGGAGTTTTGCAGTAGGAAAGGTGGCATGCTCAGATTTATGTTTTCAGAGTTTGATTTGGTAGTTAAGTAGAGGGGTTTTCCATAAGCCCTCATGACTGACAGTATCCAAAGGCCTTGGTCAGATCCATAAATATTGTGCACAAACCTCTGTTCTGCTCCTGGCATTTCTCCTAGAGTTGTCAGGCTGCAAACACCATAGCCATTTCTGAAGCTACACTAGTTCTTAGGTAGCTGACCATCTTCTGGGTGAAGGCTCAGTTTACTAAGGAAGACTCTAGAAAGAATCTTGCCAGCAATGACTAACAGAAAGACCCCTACTGTGATTGTCACAGATCAGTCTATTTTCTTTATATTTATAGAGATGGACAACGGAGTCATGTACACATTGACAATGAGGTTGATGCACCCATTGCCAGAGCTAGTTCAGTGTTTGGGAGATTTGGAAGGAAAGTGTAGGAGAGCAGAGATATTAGACTGACTACCAAACTGAAGGTCTACAGAGCCAATGTGCTAATCTCATTGTTATGTGCCTGCATGGTTTACTAAAGCCAAGCTAGAAAACTGAATAGCTTCCATTTGAATTGTCTTAGGAAGATTCTGAAAATCACCTGGCAGGATTAGGTACTGGACACTGAGGTCCTTTCCGGAACTAAATTGCCAAGTATTCAAACTCTACTGCAGAGAGTGCAACTCTGATGGGCTGGTCACATCGTTAAAATAAAAGACTATTTTAGTCAGAAGAAGTGATATGAGGACACTATGAAGGTCTCTCTGTAGAACTTTGGAATTGACTGTGAGACATACAAGAGGCTGGCAAAGGACCACCCAGCTTGATGTGCCCTCATCAAAGAAGGTGCTGTGCTCTATGAGCAAAAGCAGAACTTAAAAAAATGAGATATGCAAATATTCACATGACCTATTTAGGCCCAGCCTGTGGTAGAACATTCTGAACTCACACTGGTCTGATCAGCCACAGCTGGACACCTTGCAGTTTGACTCTAATACAGTAATTCATTTTGGTCCTCTTCGAGAACAAAAGACAAAAACCAACCAAGTAGATGAGTATTGGAGAAGGGAAGGGACTGGAGATGGGAAGATTAATTAGTATGGAGGAGGGATGGAGAAGGGGAGGTGTGGATTTAATGAGTTCTGTTTTGAACATTCTGAGTCCCCAAGTCTTTTCTTTTCCAGGTTAAATTTTTTAGATGACAGATTATAAGCTCCTTGAGGGCAGAGACTAAAGGTCTTTTTACCTTTGTCTCCCAGCACCTAGCATAGCCCCTTGTATGTAGCAGGTACTTATTAAATGATTCTTGAACCAAACTAGTCTAATTTTCTTCATTTAATCTTCTCATTGTCACTGGATTGATTATCCCCAATCCTATTTGCCTTAGAGCTGGACAACACACAGTCATTAATATCTTTTCTAAAAAAAAAAAAGTGGTTTCAGAACTGCAAAAACTACTTTCTATGTGGTCTTAGTTGTGCAGAGTAAGGTGACTTTATCACTGCCTTTATTTTGGACTCTATACTTTGATTAATACTGCTTAAGATCACTGCAACATTTTTGGCTGCCTGAGTACATTGTTGACTCCTATTGAGATTGCTGCCCCCTAAAACTCATAGGTCTTCTTTTCACAAAAATGGCTTTTTTATCTGATTAGATTCAGCTCACTGTTCCAGCTGTTTGAAAATCCAGATTCTGTCATCTAGTAAAGTATTAGCTCTCCCTCCTACTCTCATTTCACCTACAAATTTTGTAAGCATGTCATTTATGTCTTTTAAAATTTTTATCAAAGGCCTGGATAAAGAGAAGATAGTCCTGCACAGAGCTCCGTGGACCACTGATAAGAGTACTCCCACAAGGTTAACAGGGATCAATTAATCCCCACTCTTTAGTTCTTGTCTTTCATACAGTTCTGAACCCGCAACTATCATTACTCCCACTTCTCCTTTTTGTCCACAAAAAATATTGTGAGAGACTTTTTTCAAATACTTTGCTGAAACCCAGGATACTTTGTCTGTGGCATGTGTCTGATCTACCAGTCTTATAACGCTTTCCAACAGTGAAATACACTTATTTTAGTATTCCTTATTCTAAATAGATCCATGCAGATTCTTTGTGATCACTGTTTCTTTTTCTAAGGCTAATAAATTGCCACTTTAATGTCCGGTTCTAATATTTTTCTAAGAATCGATGTTAAGTTCATCCACTTTCTTCACTATTGTGGAAACTGGACCATCATTTGCTCACCTCCAGCCCTGTAGCACCTCCTCAAGTTTCCACATTTCCGCAAGTCATGGACAGCAATTCAACAACCATATTTTCTAGTTTTTTCAATCACCTATGAAGCAAATCATGTGAGCCAAGAATTTGGAGCTCAAGGATAGCAGTTAGATACTCTTACCATTTATTCCTCAATTTCAATTTCCTGTTAAGTAGCTTTGCTCTAGCCTTCCCCTTGGATATTATTCTCTTTGATGGGGAGAATAAAAGCAAAATAAGGTTCCAGTGATTCAGCCTTGTTTCCATCATCCATTATCATTGCCCCATCCCCTGCCAGTGTAGCTTTATTTCTTCTTTATTCTTCCTTTTGCCTCTAGGTAGCTGAGAAAGAAGCCTTTGTTTTTGCTCTCCTTAGAAGTTACTGGAAACACCAACTAATGTTCAGTCTTAGCTTTTTGGACAATATTCTTGCTTATAACTTCCATCTCTTGTACATGCCTTTCAATCAGTTAATCAATGTGCATTTACTAATGTTTACTATTTGCCAGCCACTTTATTAAGACTTACCAGTGAAAAGAAATGTAAAAATAGTCCTTGCCCTCAAGAAGCTTAGTTTCTAATATAAACATGATAGGTACATGCACAATACAGAAGGTAGACGGAACTTGTCTATGAGCTCTGCAGCCATATGAGCTTCTTCACGTATTGCACTCTTTTCTTCTTCACTGTTAACACCTTTGGACCATAATCCCAGGATTTCATTCTTTCATCATTTTTTAGCTGACTCTCCTTTTAAAATCTTGGATCACAAAGAGAACCCTACCCATTTTTTCCTCTGAATTATATGAATTATATTTTTTAGGAAGAGGCAACTGGGATTAAGAGACTTGCCCAGGGTCACACAACTAGTAAGTGTCAAGTGTCTGATTTGAGACCAGATTTGAACTCAAGTCCTCCTGACTCCAGGGGTGTTGCTCTTTCCACTGTACCACCTAGCTGCCCCAATTATATGAAATTCTTTTAAGGCAGGGGCAAAAACAGACTTACAAAAAGAGATAAAGAGGAAAACTACATTTTCCCCCTGAAAGGTAACATAGACAATGAGTTGATTTGAACACTTAATCTTTCAGTACTTTGATGCTCACCATGTACCCAATGGTAAAGCTTCTAAATATTTAAAGGAAAAACTAAATGAATTACAAGGAGAGAAATACAATAAAAATGTGATAGTGGAGGAATTCAAATTATCCCCATTAGCCCTATGTAAATATAATAACAAGAAGACAGAAATTAAAGACTTGAACAGAATTTTAGTAAAACTAAATATGATAGGCCTTTGGCTATTATTGAATGGAAATAGAAAGAAATACACACATTTTTCAGCTGTACATAGCATTTAAAAATTGATTTTGTTTCAGACATAAAATTTTTACAAACAAATGCAGAAAAGGCAGAAATTTTATAGGCATCCTTTACTGATTGCGATACAATAAAATTTTGTTAAATAAAGGGCCACCAAAGAAGCATTACAAATTAACTGAGGACTTAATAACAATCACAACAAAGTAGTGGGTCAAAGAACAAATTATAGAAATGAGAGATAATGTACAATAAAGCTAACATTAAAATGGAAGCAATTTGGATAAATCTTTGCAGCAAATTTTTTGTGACAAAGCTCTTATTTCTGACATACATAGTGAACTGATTCACATTTAAACGAGTTAGATATATTCTCCAATGTTATGGATATGAACAGGAAGTTTTCAGACTATCTATAGCCACATGAAAAATGTTCCAAATAACTACTAGAGAAATGAAAATTAAAACAATTCTGAAATTCCAATTCACACCCTTCAGATTGGAAAAGACGACCAAAAAGGAAAATGACGAATGTTGGAGGAGCTGTGGGAAAACAGGAATATTGATGTACTACTGTTGGTAGACCTATGAATGGTTATAACCACTCTGGAAAGCAATATACAAAACATTATTAAACAGTGTCTGCCCTTTGACTCAGTCAAATCACTGCTGGGCCTATGCCCCAAAGAGATCAAAGAAAGAGGAAAAGCTTGCATATGTATACAAGTGTAGCACTGCTTTTTGTGGTGGCAAAAAAACCGTAAGCTAAGGGGATGATGTACATCAGTTGAAGAATGGCTAAGCTGTGTATGAATATGCTAGAATATCATTGTGCTGTAATAAATGAAGAAATAGAGGATACAGAATGAAGTAAGCAGAACAAAGAACAATTTATACTATAATATCAATATTACAAAAATGAATAACTTTGAAGAACGATAAAGTGAATAGAACAAGAGCAATTTATACAATAACAACACTGCAAAAAAAGACCCAACAAGTATGAAAGGTGTAAGAATTATTATCAGTACAATGACCATTAATGATTCCAGAGGATCGATCATGAAACATGCTATCCATTACAAAGAGATGATGGATTTATGTCGCAGTATGAGATGTATATTTTTACATACAGCCATTGAGAGAATTTGTTTTGCTTGACTATGTGTATTTGGTATGAGAAATTAAAAAAAAAATTTTAATAGGGTGGGGGTAGGAAGAAGAAAAAAATTTTTTATTAATTTACATGAACGTTCAGATGAGGTCAATAGATTATTAGTTTTATTTTGTCGTAAGAGAACTCTTATGAAGTGGAAATAATCTGCAAATGTCTCCAACTCTCACGAAGTGGAAGTAATCTGCAAATGTCTATAATATAATAAACAAAATGCAAGAATAAAACTGAAAAAAAGAGAAATGTTCTTTCCTAAATACTAAAGTGCTAGTCAGATTATACCCAGTATTGTGGTGAGGATCAAAACAACAAATGTAAAGCATTTTACAGACTTAAAACACTACATAAATACTAGCTATTTTTTTTTGTTATGAGCTATAAGATGATATGGTTTTTTCCTTCCGAAGTTACCATTATTTTATTTGTTTTTTTATACTTTATTCATGGCTTTTGCTTTTAGACCATAGTCATTTTCAACCATGCCCCACCCCCAGAGTGGGTTTTCCCTTGTGACAAAAAAAGAGCAGCTACACAAAAAACAACCAAGACAGTGACCAAGTGTGACACTGTATGTGACATTCCACACCCAGAGCCACTCAACCTCTTTGATAAAAGGCAGGACATGCACTTCCTCATCGCTCCTCTAGGGCCAAGATTGGTTGTTATAATTACACAGAATTCAGCTTAGTTTTATTTTTCTTCATATGCATGTGTGTGTGTATGTATATATGCATGTACATGTATATGTATGTATGTATGTATGTATGTATGTGTATGTGTGTGTGTGTGTGTATATGTATATATATATATATATATATATATATATATATATATATATATATATATTCCCTACTGGTGATTTCAGTAAGAGAGACAGAGACAGAGACAGAGAGAGGGAGGGAGAGAGAAACAAAGAGAGAGAGAGAGAAAGACAGAAAGAGAGAGAGAGAGAGAGAGAGAGAGAGAGAGAGAGAGAGAGAGAGAGAGAGGCATAGACAAACTTAGAGAGGGCCCTAGATAGGAGCACAGAGAGATGCCTAAAGAAAAGCCTAGAGCAGAGGGTTTGAGACCACATGTGGCCCTCTAGGTCCTCAAGTGCAGCCTTTTGACTGACTCTAAACTTCAAAGAACAAATCTCCTTAATAAAAAGATTTGTTCTGTAAAATTTGGACTCTGTCAAAAGGATGCACCCAAGGACCTAGAAGGCCACAAGTGGCCTTGAGGCTGCAGGTTTCCCACCCTTGGTCTAGAGAGATATAGAGGGGCCTAGAAAGAGGCCTAGAGATGTCAGAGGCTCACAGAGAGAGTACTAGAGGGTCCTAGAGAGGCTTAGAGAGGATATAGAAAGAAGCCAAGAGAGGGGCCTAGAGAGAAGCCTAAGGACATAGAGG